TCTCCATCTATCCATCTATCCATCCATGTACTGCCCGTATGCATGTTCACATGAACGAAGCTTTACGGCCCAGCTGGGCTTTAGAGCCCTAGGTGTCGGGGGCCGCACCAAGCAGCACGACCGTTTCCTGAGTGGGCTGTTGGGAGCGTGTCGCCACGAGGGTTTCGGGCTTGCGTGTCCGTCATTTTGAACTTGTTGATTGTTGAAGACTTCGGCGCGAGATCTGACACCTCTTACAGTTGATACTCTCCGCGCGGTCCCTAAAGTCATAAAGGCGCCGATAGCACGAAGCCACACGTACCAGTCAAACATGCGCCCAAAGACAGCAAGCAAAGATTGGCCGAATGGATTAGGGTCGGGCTGCAGCCTCGAACTCTAATCAATCTGAAAACTCTGTGAGACATCTTGCACGCAGGTCATCTCGGACATTTGGGCTTCAGCGAAGCTCCTGCTCAACCTCAAACGAAATTACTGAAGCCAAGCTTCATGGAGCAACTCGCTCTCTTCTGGCTGACCTGGCGAAAGTAGTGCTCGTGAAAGTTTGCCCAGACCTTTTGTCCCGTGCCCCTCGACATCACGGGCCCGAAACCTTCAAACTTCCAACCTCAAAACTCAAAATCCCACGACCCGCATTTCAGAGGCGCAGGTGTTGGGATGGAGACTTTTCCGGTTAGGGCAATACCGCTTGGGATGCGATGCAGGGTCCCTCATCCGTTGCCTTGTGAGGTTGTGGGCTTCGTGACACTTCCTTGGTGTTCATCGCGGCAGAAAATCTGAAGATCTAAGTGCTCGGACCTTCATCGCGGGGAATGCCGGGTGAAATCAGCAGGGGAGGGATCAGGATACGCTTCGTTTTGGAAGTTGTCAATGGGATCCGGTGAGAATCAACTTCATGTCCGACCGAAGTTGCTCGCTCGAATTTCGAGTTTCGAGATCATTCTTGCGGAGCCGAGCTTCCAGGAATTCGGGCCACGCAGTAGTCCAAGAGGGTCACCAAAACATGGTACAACTCCTGGGCAAGCTGCTTCTCTTCCCAATCCAGCTAAGCGTCCACATTTTCTAGCGCTTGCACACCTAGATGAGGGAAACTGCATCACATGAGAGTGTCCCAACGAGAACCATTAGATTCGAGTCAAAACGTGCATTAGCAGGCTTGTAAATTCCTAGGCTCCTTCAGGATTACAGGGCTTCCTGGCAAAGAACTGATGCTCATACTTCTGCGAAAAACCAAACTCTTCAACTGCGAAGGCACAGAACACGAGGTTCCACAAACTGATGAAGAGTATAGAATGTAGTAGAACAGGAGCAACATCAGTTGAAGTAGGCATGATGGTAGTCATAATGCCCGAGACCCGAATCAACCAAAACAGGTCGCTCCTGCTGTCTACCAGCGCCAGCACCCATTGTCTTTTGAAGCGTCTTCAAGTCCTGCCCAGAAAGCATGTAGGTTCTAGATCTCGCCCCAGCATTGCCGATGCCGTCAGCTGATCTTCTTGGGATTCAACTTTAATGCACTCCGACAGTGGACTGCAGGCCGGGCTTCTCCGTGCATGCGGTACGAGACGCCCAGGCTGTAAACATCATTGTACCAGGACAGCAAATGACGATGCTGTTCCTCCCCATGCTGGAAGGCCAGGATTCAGAGAGCCTAGCTAAAAAGGTAAGTCGTTGTCACACATGTCCGATATGTTGAGGCTACATGACATCTTCACGCCAGGTGGTTTGAAATCTTGAGCAGTAGCTAGCCCCTTCGCGATTGAGGACAGGCCAAGCACTTCGCTCGTCTGAGGGCCAGGCGATCTGCGCCACACAGTTAAGAATCCGAAGTGCCTGCCGCAAAGGTCGGCGACTGGTGCTCGGTCGCAAACAAAGCAACTTTCCTCCTATCTTCTGAGCAGTCTCTGGGCAGGAACACGAACAAGCAGCCCTGCGATGAGTTGAAAGCCGATCGACTTGACGCGGTACAGTACGGCCCGCAGGCTTGTCTTCGAGTCACATGAGGGAATCGTCCCGCCAGATGTTACTTCACGGACTTGGCCATGCTGGCTAACAGCCCACTACTCGCCTGGACGCACAGCGATACCACCTTGGAAGACTTGGAAGTCCCAAGCGTTTGCTTCAGGAGTTGGGCGGGCTGTGCAGATTCCATGGCTGGGACTGACGAAGCCTTATTAAACGTGTCAACAACAGCACAAGCCGGGCTTTGCAATCCGCGTCTTTGTCCGATTCCATGTCAAGTGGCGGTCTGCGGCAGCTTGGCACCCTTTTCCCGGCGGCCCTCTGAGAGCAAGATGGACACCAGGATGCCAACGACGCCTGACGCTGGTATGTCCGGGTTGCGGGTTTAGGGATGTTTAGGGTCTCCAGTCACTCAACTCTGCAGGGAAGGGGCTTATCTAGGCCAGGCTTCACTTGAAAGGGAACTCCCTGAGGCAGTGGCCGAAGAGCTCGGTGTTCCGGAGGGTCTCCAGCACGCGCTCCTTGGCCCAACTTCCGCGTAATAGCCGAGATCTCCGAAACGCCGAAATGAACTCCCCCGAGTGTAGACACTCTACTATACAATACCTCAAACCCTCGTCCAAATATGCAAAGAGCCGACCGAAGCCGCTGCTGCTCAACCTTGGAGTCTATAAGGGCCAAATCCACTTGGGAAGTGTGTGGTGTTAGTCCTAGACGCTGCCTGACACAGTGTCGAATCCAAGCGGCGTGAGAGGCAGCAATGGCAGCCACCACTTCCGGGCTCGAGTTTGCCTGGCTCGTCGACCGACTTAACCTAAAATTGATGGCCATGAGCTTCTCGACTTCCTATGCACGTCGTTGGGTGCCAAGCCCCAGAACTCGAGTCAGTGCAAGTTGATTCCGGAAAACCCCGTCACGTCAGGTGATGCGCGCATGCAAGCTTCGTTCTCTAGGAAAGCAGAGAATAACGCTGCAACACGGACACTGCTTCGAGAGCCATTGGCAAACATTCAAAACTGCCTCTTTCCCGAGTCTAGCCAAGGCCCGACTCCACTTCCAAGACCGGGAGAGTTTCACGCAAACAGCCACAGACAGGGACCCGTCAACACGCCAAAAACATGCCGGGATGTGGACTGAAAATCCCTCTTTCACCAAGTCTACGAGTGACTCCACCCTGTTCCTCGGGTACAAATGGGAAGGAGGCATCGGCCGCGCCCAGCAACGACGAATGCTGCCCCGACCAGAAATCATGGCAGCTCCAGGAAACCCATGTCAGGGCTGCAGTCATGAATCCCTGAAGGCCATCTCTTTTGCAACCCTGAACTGAACCCTCAAAGCTAATGATTGCAGCACCGTCGACCGTTTGCCCCATCCCTCGGCCTCGGGCTGTGCGCCTCCCGGGCGGCGATACGCAGTGACGAGAATATGCAGAAAGCACCTGCTAGCTCCGAAGCATGAAAACAGCCACGCATTTTAGGTTCTTGGTGGGGATGGTGCGGGGGTCCGCTCAGAAGGGTGCAGCTTGGATTTGGTGGGAAGAGTCTGGGAAGAGCTTCCACTCCTAGTAGAGACCTGAGACCTCACTACCACAGCAACAACTCGGCACGAAGAACTTCAACCCAGCAAAACAAGAAGCAAAGGTTTCCGCAATCATACGAACCAAACCCGACTAAGCCGTCAGTCTGGCGTGGCAACACTCATGTATCAGGCCAAGGGGCATTGCCCGAAGTAGCAGCAAAGGCAGCGGAGACGCTCCGTCGAAGAGCTTGAGACCTCGTGACAAACGACACCTATCTGCACGTCTTCCTCGCAGCCTCTGGGAGATCCCACGCCTCTTGCCCCTTGGCACATCGCAAACCTTCAAGTGTTCGGAGACCTAATAGGGACTTAGCAAGTATGTTGCAAAATAGGGGTACAGCGGGAGAGCCCCAGTTTGGATACTTAACTCAACTGCCAAATAGAGCCGACCTACCATCTACCATTATCCCTCAAGTCTCACTCCCCCAAGCTGGGGCAGCTCTGAAGCGCCCGTGCCGCGATGAGATGGGAGCTTCAAATATCTAGTCGAATCAAGACCTTATTAAACATCTTAGCAGCTGCACAAGCATCACCGATTTAAACCCGGGCCTTACCCCGCCCCCCCCCCCAATGTCGAACGAGCTCGCTTTTACAGGGTTCCCGGCGGATCTCAGCTCGTCCGAAGAGCTCGCGGAGCCTCAAAACTACGGGCATCACGCGACACCGCCTACTGTAGTATACCCATCATGCTACGACGTGTTCATTTTATGATGAGTAGCAGCGATGATCCTGATGGCGACGACCAAGATGGCAAAGCTGAGTATTCTACTCGTCACAGGTGTCCATGTCCCAAGCAAGCACAAGCGCTGGGTTTGAATCAGTGGGCCAGGGAGCTAGTCCACTCTGTAAATACGTGTCACACTTTGGGCACCCCGAGTACGGAGAGTATGTCGGATCATGGGGGGGTAGGCTGCTCAGTTCTGTGGGCAGATTCTGACACCTCGTTTCTGGGCTCACTGGACTGGACTCTCCCAGTGGCATTGAAGGATGATTCCTTTGGCTTTCTGAAGTCCGAGGGCTTATCATTATCAACTTAGCTCTAAAGTCTGACCAGGCAGCTTCTCGGCGAGTCCACAGAGGATCAGGTACGCTGCCAGCGAGCCCTGCAGGACTCAAAAGCGTGAGAAAGTGTGGGGCCCAGGGCCTCAAGACTTGCCCCCCAAACACACAAAGAAAAGCGTGAACACGGCGGAACGGCTCCAGGGAGCTCGGTGCCCTCCATTAAACAGTCCACGGGAAGTCTGCATTCCTGGGGGAACGACGCAGAGCAAACCAGACCCTGAACTCTCCCAGCCTGCAGTTCGCGAGCGCCCTCTGGGGGAGCCTTCCAGAACAGACACAGAAGTAGCAGGACGCTCGCAATTCGTGCGCATGCTTACATGCAATACCAGGTCAAGGTTCGTGTCCAAGGTACGAAGAACCCCAGCAGCATTCGCAAGCTTAGGCCCTGCCTGCTTCATGTGCAACGCCAGGACATGTAGAAGCTGTGGCAGGAAGAGGACTGGCCCACCCTGTCCACAACGGTGCAGGGATGCCCTTTCCAAAGCAAGCGCCAACCCCAGCCTCCACATCCTGAGGCTTCAAAGACTCTGCAAAGTGCATGTCCTGTGGAACGGCTCGGGCTTTGGCATCGGATTCTGCCAAGGTTGGGAGCTGTGATTGCAAAGACCTCCATCCGGCCAAAGACTACCGGATATGACTGCGACGTGTGGAAGCCTGAATCACCTGTCCACGCCAACCCTGTGAGCGACAGACTGCCAGCAAAAGCTGCGCAACGACATGCTCGATGTGTTTGGCGGACATCGACGGATCTCATAGCCCCAGGCTTCAAGCCCCGGTCCAAGTATGCAGTGGCCACATCGGCGAGCAGCGTCACTCGGCCAGTGAGCAGCAACACCTGTGGCAAGGCAAATGCAGAATGCCCATTTGCGACACGAGGGCCAAGTAGAAATCGAGCATTCGGCAGGACAGTAAGAATGCTGTTGCACGGTGGCTGGTGCCCACCTGCGACCCGGAACCTTCAAAGCCACATGGCCCCTCAAACCACACAACGCGGGCGCACCAAACGGGCGAGGCGGCTCTTGCACAGCAGACCCAGCCACTTCCTGGGATGCTTTGAACTTGCCCCTCCCCCTTGAGATCCTGAGATCCTGAGAGAGAAGATGTCCATCGAAACGGACACGAAGCTCATACAGCATTTAAAGCAGCCAAATTAAAGTTAGTTTAAGAGGTGCAAGCTGCAAGAGCCAACATGCATCGGAAGTCTTTAGCGCAATCGATCCTGTTTCTTGCTGTTTACATCGTGGACCTCGGCAGTAAGTGAGGCGGCTGACGAATCGGAGGGATCTCTGAAAATGACGATGAAACGCCCGCTTGAGCCCAGCGTCAGGGCGCAGAGCTGAACGTTGCAATTCCTGAGTCAAGCTGCCAAAGGATTCTAGAAAGAGCTGTAGCCTTCAACTCTCCTGATAGGCTTTAGGTTTTGGGTTGAAGCTCCTGCTGCGGAGTCCTTACTTAAGACTAGAAAGGGTGCTGGCTAGGAGTGCGGCTGAGGCCTCACCGCAGCTGCTGGGCCTTCAACACTTCCTCTCGTTGTTCATACTTGCCACTGAAGGAACTATGACTGACTACTCAATTCTAACTACTTGATGACGACTATTCTTGTCGTCATTGCGATGGTTCGTAGCATTAGCCTCGGTCTCAGGACTGCTCTTAGCAGTCTTAGGTAAGGTGGGAGGTGATGCTGATAGCATCCTTAAGATCCTTATTCAGACTACACTCCTTCTTGCTCTCTCGGCACCCCGGAGCCGAGGCGCTGCTTCCATGCGACAACGGACGCCTTGTCGCCGGCCCTGGGCCGCGAAACGGGGCTCAGCCAGAGTAAGTCACATCGATGCGTCGAGGGTCTCAGCTTCCAGGCTTAGGGGTTTGAGGCTTGTCCGTTATAGGGGTTTGGTTGCCAGTCTGCCAAGGTGAACGACATGAAAAGGGAAGAGATACCTCCAGCTTCACCGAGCACGTGTCATGAATCTGCAAGCCAAGACTATCTTCCCGAAAACATAACCACTGTCTGCCGTTTCAGAAGGGTGTTCCGAGCCCAAAGCACTTCGAAGCTGGCGATGTTGTCCTTGACCCTACAGCAAAGATCGACCACCATCCTGGCATCTTCCGAGCAGGCGCAGGAACTCGGAATCAGCTCTCCGGACCTTTCCTCCCCAAGGGCAGAGTGCCCCCACAACTCCGGAGCAGCGGCCAGAGACAAGCCAGTCTTCACACTTCCTGAAGTCTGAAGCCTTCCACCCGTGCAGGGGCCTTGCGCAATTCAGCTTCAAGATGAGTGCCACATCGGCCTCTCGCTGCACCTGCGTGAGCACCTGTGCAGGAAAGACGTGGTGGGCCTGTTGACAGCATTGGAGAAGTTTCGTAGACCTGGGGTCCAGAGTCCGGGATGTTTCACGAGATAGGTCTTCGGCTGCTGCCCTCGAGAGGTGGTGGGGCCTGTCTTCAGTCGTGGCAAGAGAGATGCCTGACGTTCCCCTCTCCTCCTCTCGCTCGGTAATCGGTGCCAAATGACGCACCTTGAACCCAACGATGAACTTTCAGCTCCATATATGCACGTGGATTCGCTTCAGTGTTGAAGTCCGATCGGACGACATACCCGGTAAACAACACCGAACAGCATTACTCGTGGCTTGCCTTGCTGAACTCGTTGAGGACCTGTAGCAACAGCTGCGTTGGGGCTTCGACTAGTGAGGGCTGAAAAAGTCTGCTAGATTCAGATCTGACTGAGCTGTGCTTAAGCAGTCGAGGAATTGAAGGTCAACACCACCTCAGCTCTGAACGAAGAACAGCCACAGCGAGAGAAGCTAGAGTACAGGTGGCTTGCCCTTGGACTCACTGCAGGTTTGAGAAGTTAGGTTCCGTATTCGACAACACCCAGTTCTATCAATCAATCCACCCATCCACAGGGTCCGCGCTGTCGTATAGTGCTTCTTCTGTTGGGGCTGTTCGTGCAGCCCTGCCGGACGTGTCCTCCTGCCCACCCGTTTGGACCCGTCGCACCTCCCGCACCGACTGCTCTCCAAGACCCCGGGCAGATTCGGCTTTCTCGAGGTTCAAGTAGCCGAGGCTGTGGAACTGATCTTCCTTAGTACCGCCATCAGGGCAGAAAGCCGCAAGGCTCAAACCCCCCCCCCGGCCAAAGGGCCTCGCTTCAGAAGATTGCTGGCGACAGTGCGCAGGCGCGCACAAGCGTGCACAGGCGTGTCTAATCTCCACACTTGCGCCCCAAAGGATTCCAAAGGCACCCGAAGCGAGACGCGAAGCTTCGGCCTTGGGCCCGGGAGTGGGAGCCTCCGAGCGGTGCGCTGCGGTGCGCTCTTTCTGGGAGTCCCTGCCGAGGAGGCCGCCGCTGCGGCGCTCGAGACGCCAAGCACCTCCCCCAAGTCAGATTCTGTCAATTTGAGGACAATGGGGATTATGGGGGTGGCGACTCGTGAACCCAGTCAGCCTTCGCCAGATCGGCTGCCAGCTTGCTGATCTTCGCACCTTCGCATTTGGGGATTTTGGTCCCAGTTGAGGCCGTGGGTACGGGTCTTCGGTGGAATATCCCTGCATTTTTGGCTTGGTCTGAATTTGCAAGTAGCCAGGAAGTGAGGAAACAAGGGTCAACGACCAAAGGGCCCGGAGAAAGCGACCGAAACAGGCATCAACTAGCACGGTGCAGGCGAGAGGATTTCAGTTGCTCGGGACCCTATCTTGACCCCGCTAAACCAAACAATAACAGATGCAGATCCATGCCCGAGGATGTGGCGCTGGGCTGCGTTTCCGGCAGCTGCCTGTCGCAGCGAATTTTCTCCTTGAAACTACGGCTTCCTGGGTCGAGCGAGGGCGAGACCTGAAGAAAGAAGGTTCTAGGGTGGGTGGGTATCCATTATGATAGTTTAGCATGCAGGCGAAGCAAAGCCAAGGGCCTCAACCATGCTTGAACAATCAAGTCCCCTTTTGCACGACCCACTGCAGCTGTTTACGGAAACCCGCAATTGACTAGACAGCTTCCCGCAAAGCCGACACCTGGAAGCACCCACGTGCTGCAATGGCTACACAGAGCTTATGGAAGCCTTGCAACGTCACCGCATCCATGACAATTCCATGCCAGCCAGGCCAAACCTTGCGCCCCCCAAATCTCAAAACCCTGCACCTCGCAGCCGATGAAAGACCCTGAAGCCCTCGATACTGCCTTGGGCCCATCGGAGGCAGAGGCGAGCTGAAGAGCCTCTTCTACCCGTCTGACCCCCACACGTGCATCCTTTTCCGGGGGGCCTACTATGTATGTTGACTTCGGGGATCGCGCTTGGTGCGATTTGGGTTTCACTCGGGCTAAGGTGAACACAGATACACTGGTGTCCCCAGAACCAGGTTCAACACGCTTGAATCAGTTAGAGTATACCTTGCCTATTTAGGCTAATAATGCCACCGCCAATCTATTAGATGATCATTCCTATGGTCCCCCCTACACATCACCGATATATCACTACTACTTCCCCCATTAGATGATCATTCCTAGGTTCCCCCCTAAACTTCACCGATATATCACTACTACTACCCCATTATCA